TGGCATTTGAGATTTATAAGTATACAAAATTTGTATAAATTTTTTTTTTTAAACTATTAATAAAACATAAATATTACGAATAAATATTTATTCAGTATTTATGTGTATTATGTAGATATAATTTAATAGAAACTATTAATGGAATTATAACCAGATTGTTAATATTACAAAAACAAACGGAAAACAATACGTTTATTACGTTAGTTTAAAATTATTAAAAAATGAATTTTGAAATAAGTTACAAATATATATATATATATATAAGCAATAAAAATGTGATATCAAAATTTATTTCGTTAATCTTATCATGTATAATTATCTATAAAGTAAATATTAATATTATGTACTATTTTTAATGTAAAAATGTAGAGATATTTGAAAAGTACAACAAAATTCTTTTAAAAATTCATAAGTAAATTCATTATTATAATAAAACTAATATTTACATATTAAATATACTATTTTTAACTAAATATGTAACAATCGTCACGTGACTTGACAAATTAATTGTATCAATTCACACCTTCAAAGTAAATTTAATTATTTATGTAATTTCAAAATTTATGATTTCATGATTGTTCAATATTAATTTTTTCATTATAAAATAGCAAGAAATGTGTTTCATTTAAATTAATCTATTCTTACAATTCTTAGCATTTCTTATCGAGATACGATTATACCTTACTCACTTTAAATTGATATTGGAAATAACTTAAATAAATTGAAAGCAATAATTTTAATTCAATAGACCAATTATTTTAATTTCTTTAATTGAATTAGCGGATGATATAGAATTAAAATTAAACTTTCGCCATTGGTAAAAATAAATTAATTTTCAAACTTTAAATAATGAACCTATCAGAACGTTTTTTAAATATTTACTGCTTAATGAGAAAAAAGATTCAAAAAATTTTCAAGATTCAAAATTTTTTTAAGAAAATAAGATAAAATATAAAAATGTGTTTATTAAATGGTTCGTTTTACTGTCGTTAACTTATCTTGGCAAGATGTCGATTGATTTCACGCAAGAGCATCTAAAATTTGCTTTCATTTATGATTCCGTAAGTTCTGAATATAATAATGACTTAATTTATCGTTAGTTGTATAATTTATTTACTTGATAAATATCTGAACCTGCAAACAAGTGTAATTTTTATATTTGAAAAATAATGATTCACAGTTTTTGGTATGAATATTTATATGTGATTGTTATAAAAATTGTTAAATCAAATTATATAGAATGGAAGTAATTAACAAAGTATTTTGAAGTATAAATTACATAGGAAAAAAATTATTTTACCAAGATTTTCAGTAGAATGTCTAAAATGATAAAATAAAATATGTAAATTGCATGATTAATAATTAAAAAAAAAATTATATATATATATATATATATATAGTTAATCTATTAATAAATGAATTAGAACTTGTTTTTAAAAAGATGTTATAATTCGATGATTTTACTTTTCTATATATTTAGATATGCTTCGATAAAAAATGAAAACTGCCAGGCTGACTATATAAAAATATTTTTAGCATATAATATAAAGAATGAAGAGAAACGGTGTTACAATCATATAGTATGTGGCGGGTAAAGTTTAATTGCAGTATCTACATAAGATTATCTGAATTGTTATTATTTCACTAGAATTCATTCGCATTGGGATTTCAATTCAAACACATTCAGACAAAAGTTCATATGAAAATTATATATTGTTGATTTGTACATTTTTCACATTAATTGATAAAAGTCAAATAGCTCCAAAGATTGCGCATCCATTGATTGCGCGTCTATAGTCAGCGCAATACTTTCCTCCTCTATTCTATTAACCTTACGTAAGAGCGAAAAGAAACAATACTTACGAGTGTTACAAACAACCAAATGCTTTACTAAAAAGTGTATAACAGTTTTCGTCATGTGTTTCATATTCAGATAACCGATAGTTGATATAAGGATAAACGTTTATATATCTCTGATACATTGTTACGTTTTCTCACAAATGCTCTCCCCCACAGGCATGAAGGTGAACGTTCTCGACCTGAGCCCCAACTACTCGGGCACACTGATGGCAATGACAAACGGCATTGCCGCTTTTACTGGCATCATTACGCCTTACATCGTCGGCATCCTGACACCAAACCAAACAGTAAACGAGTGGCGTCTCGTATTCTGGATCGTTCTCGCCATTTTTTTTATCACCAACGGAATCTTCGCGCTCTACGCTAGTGGCGAGCCCCAGCCGTGGAACGATCCGGAGTTCCTGCGCGACGAAGCTCTGTCTCAGCAAAAGCCCAAAGGCTCGACCAAAGTTCACGAAAAAAAGCTCGACAGGGCGTAAGGATCTTGGGATCGTAATGCCTTGGTAATTGCAATTCTTTTCTCCGTCGCGCCGATCGATTTTGCAAGGAACACAATGTCGATGCTTTGGAAGCTCCACTTTGTCCAAGAGGTGAATCGAAGCTCTTCCCATTGCTGCGCAATTGTCACGCAATGACCGGTCAAATACATATTTTAAAAGGCATCGAGCGTGAAGTCAGCCGGTCCACTAAGATCGATCAAGATTTTAATAAAAAGACAAGCCTTACGATTAAATAACATATCGCGAACTCAAATCATCTAACATCGAGACAATGGAAATATAGCATTTTCACATTCTTGCACTGTGTGTCCTTACGAGTAATTTATGGTTAATTAGTTTTTGGTTATTGCCGATGCCTCGCGTATATCTTCACTCCGACAAAAGAGAAGAAAAAACAAAGATTGTCACCTTTACCAGGCAGTATTAAAATGTAAGTAAACGCTGATTTACGGTTCACAATGCTTGTTATTTTGAACTAGGAAGCTACAGTATTTCTTCGTTTCTCACATACATAATTGCGAGAATTGTATTATGTTGAACTAATCGACCGTGAATTTTTTTAATATGTCTTCGAGAAACCACACGATAATTCACATTTTATTTGCCTTTTTGAAAGTATTTTACATTGGCAAATGAAGAATTAGCGCTAACGATATGTTGAATAAACGCTTTTACTGGGCTAACACTGAAATAAATTGTTAAACGAATAAAAGTGACCCTTGGTGGTGAGTCGATCAACGAATTGAGGTGAGGACTTTATGTCGGTACGAGGCCATCGCGCAATATTGTATAAAATGTGCCTGTAAATGCAATTTCAGTGATTCGAGTTTTCCTCATCTGGAATACTCAAGCCTTTGTAGTTAACGTTAGTTATGATTAAGATTAGTCATTGAGTGATAAATTATTGAAAAACATTCCAAGTGAAATTAGATTATATATTGTGCTAATATGAAACGCTTGTATGATTTAAGAAATGTTATTTACAATTATGAATTACGTTAATATACGAATGATTTTTATAGAGACAGCGTAACACCGCAAAGTTGAGAAAATCGTTGTTCGATCTTTTTATTTTCTTTTTTTTTCAGCGATTGATTGTCAATCGCGACCACGAACGATATATTTTAGTTTTTTTATTTATTGGAATTCGTTTTCATTGTTCGATAATTTAATATTGTAAATAAAGAAATTTTAAGTATGTGGAGAATTGTAAATAATTAGATGAATAATATTTTAGTATAGAAAACGAGAGTTTTGGAGAGATTATTAATTTTAATATCATTAGTATTAAATATATTTATAAGTTTCTCTTTATCTTGTTATTAAAGGCTAATTTCCGTTTGTGTTATATTAATTATGTAAAGCTCTATTCAAGTATCATTCATGCCCAAACAAACAATTACAACTATTATAAAACAGGATTAATATAAATTTATTATTACGAATGAAATGACTAAAAATTATAAAATATCAACAAAAAAAAAAAAAAAAAAGATCAAATGTGTATTGCTTTGCATTTATTCATTCAAGATTTCTTAGTAAACACAAGTTACACTTAAAGTCAAGACTTTGATTAAACTCAGATAGTATGCTGCTAATTAACGAATAGACTTTTACCTAATAAAATACTGTTATCCGACCGTTCAATTCAACTAGAACAAACTAAATAAGACGATTTTCACTGAATATATGCTTGTATGAGAAACGTTATTTTATTAAAATATAGAGATTAAATTATACCACCATTCTTTTAAAAACCACTTTTTCATTTTAATGAAATCTTTATTTTTACTATCTTTGAGCTATTTTTTTTTATGTGTTTATTTTCCACACATGAATATTACACCTCAACGATTATAACAATGTACAATAGTGCGTACTCGAAAGTGTGCGTGGATGAATATATATATATATATATATATATATATACACATTCAATTACCATTTATTATTATATATATTCTGACTATCAATTATTGACTACTATATATAAACAATTAATATAAATGAAAATATTTCCGTAATAATTGAACTCCAGAGCTATCATTACATGTAAGAAAGCTGCGTTTTTATAACAACAACAAAAATGTAAATATTTAATTATTTATCTATCATTGAACAAAAATGGGATTCAATAAAATTGTACAAATTAAAGTCGAATATTTTCAAAATATTGTATTGTGTCTACATTATATCCTTTATCTCGTAAAGAAATATAATGTGTTAATAAAAGTTTTATTCTATTATACAATTTAAGTAAGTTTAGGGAATTCGATATTACTAAAAGTTACCTTTTCTATTTTATTTTTACAAAGTAAGCTTTTTCTGAGTATAATGCCTAGAGTTTATACTGAAATTCTTTAAAAAAGTTTATTCAACGGCAAAATAAGTAAAGCATCGCTACAATTTCTATTATAAACGAAAACATCAAATGCATTTTGCTCGAAACTATTTTTTTTCAATTTGATACAAGTACATATTTAAATTGATTTTGAAAAAGCGGTATTTCTGAACAGACAATATTATATGAATGAAAAATATTAAAAAATTTCGTTTCCATTAGAAATAATTTTTTGGAACGAATGTTTAAAACAAATTTAAAATTTTATAACATTTCACTTTTCATAAGTAGATTCACCATTATTTTTAATACATTTTTATAATTTTTTTAAACGAAATACATAATAATTTTTTAAATACTGAAATTTTGAAATTATTATAATCTTTTGACAGTGTATTGTAATCTTCAATAATAATGAAAACTTATTATATATATATATATATATATATATATATATATATATATATATATAGATAAAGTTAAAAGTTAATTTTACTATTATATTTTAATAACAAAAATACTTGTAAAAATATGCATTTACGTTTGCTTTTATATTTTACAATTGATTTGAAAAAAATAAAAATTGTTTTTAACAAAATAAGCGGCCTATTGTTTTTAAATGCTTATAAATCAATAGACGTAAACAATTATTTATTAATGATATTTCATTATGAATTTTACAATTTAACTGAAATAAATACTGTACGAGGATAAGACTACGTTATAAATCCATTGTATATTTTAATTACTTGTTAATCAAATTAATAAAAAATATTAAATATACATAATGCTCTATTGAAATAATTATATAAACTTTGATTTCTTTCAGAGTGAAAATTTAAAATTAATTCAGTATTTTATATAGCTTCACGATATGCTTAAAAATTTCTATAATTAATACCAATTCAAAGATTAAAATTATTTGAAGATCTCTTCCATCAATAAGTGATCCCCCTTTTTTTTTAAGTATATATCAAAGTTAATGTAAACAAAGTCGAAAATTTATTTTCTAGTGTGGATGTCAAAAGAATTAATGCACTGCAGAATTTAAAAAATTCCAAAATTATCCATATAAGAAAATAATTTTTATTAGTTTAAAATAGAATTTCTTATCAAGTAATTAAATATTTAACAAAGCCGAAAATTATCTAGTATATTTTATAATTGGTTAGTAAATACTTTCACTTACAAAAATGCCAAATATAAAATTTTCACTTTAAACAATTAGCTTAATCTCATATCGGATATGAGTAATTTCTTTAAGACAAAGTTTTAAAGCAATCAAAGTAGAACCAAAAAAGTTTTCAAACGTTAACCATTAATACACTCTACAAGATTATTATAAGCTAAATTAAAAACCTTCAAATTCAATAAAACAAATAAATATAGTTAACAAATCGATATATTAACTTATTAAATTTTTATAAAATTATTTTTATATTATAATTGGATAATAAAATAAAATAAAGTAAAATTAATACATATTTTATGAAGAACTTAATATTGAATAAACAATTCTTACGAAGAAAATGTCTATGATAATGGGACACGTGTACATTTGATATGCAAATCAAATTTTAATAATTATAATCATTAAATCTTTTACTTATATTTTTAATTATTTTGACAATATGAAAAATTATATTAAACATTTTCTAATAATTACAAATCTCAGTATGTTATTAAATATGTCGTAATGTTTGTTTCAAGGAATTAAAGTTTCATTAGAATACGAAATCCTTTAAATGCATTTATATTGGGAATTCTTACGAATGCATGAGTAATGTCGCTTTCTATATGAGTCGTAATCTGCATAGAAAACAATCCTAGAAGATGTACTGTCCGAGCTTGTAATTTAATGTAAAAATTTCGTAGAAATAAGATCCTTTTACCTGGACCTTGTGACATATTACGTTTCGCGGTAAGAATTTTACCATAATGAATTTTAACATTATTATTCACTTTAAATTCATATATTTTGCAATGCAATTTAAAGATTACAACATAATTTCAAATACTGCAAATATTAGTTTCTTTTAATATATAACTTACTCGAGCGTTACTCATCCTCCATATTGGAAGTTTTTTAATTAGACTCGATGCAATGACTTACCAATTTGATCATAGACCAACGGCATATTTATTGCGCCTTCCTTTAAAATTTAGGTCTGCAATAACAAAAGCTTCTTGTTTAAAAAAAAAAAATAGGTAACTTTTTAAATAAATTTTTTAATATTAATATTTGATCATTTATAAATATCAGCGGATGATTAGATCGTTGAGTAGTATTATAAACTTTACTGTTTAATTTATAAACTTTATTTGAAAAATGAAATCATACATTATCCGTTTGATAATTTCAAGTTTTATGTAAATTTATGGTTTACTTATTACATTATAATAATAATAATAATAATAATAATATTATTATTATTATTATTATTATTATTATTTTTTTTTTTTTTTTTATAAGTTATAAAAAAAAGATAGTTTCAATTATTTTTCATAAAAGCATCGATTATATTAATAAATATCAACTAGAATTAAAGAACAAGAAAATATAGTTTTCTTTATTAATTATCGGATGTTTATCTCTAGAATGAGATTTATATTGCTCAACACATCTAATCAATAATCCACTAAAGGAAATAATTTATATTTTCATTTATTAGAGTTTCTCCAAATCACAGCATTGATACATTAATATGTACGCTTAAAAATGTATAGAAGCTTTTTAGTCATACAAAAAGTGATTCGAAGTGATTAAATTCGAAGATATACTAGTAGTACATAAGCCAGAAGTAAACGCGTTCTGTAAATTACCAACAATGCCATTTTTCTATTCAGTCGTCTCTCTTTCAACCGTAACATTTTAATGCATTATATAAATAAAATGTAGAAGAATTAATGATTAAAATTAATAATTATTATAAATATTCCTATCGTATTTATTAATCATTATTAAGTTCAATTGAATTGAATTAAGCATACGAGTATTGTAAGCTACAGAAAACAGAAAAACAGAAGAACATGATTTTTCAATTAAAATTAATTGAAAAAAAAAGAGAAAAAAAAAGAAAAAGAAAAAAAGAATATGCCTGACAACCATAAAAGTGTTATCACATTAAGGAAATGTACGGGCGGGCACATTCAATTTTTACTGAATTTTACTTGGGGTACGAAGAGCGACGACCTTGTGCTTTTAGTATTCACTTACAAATCTCCGTTGTTTTGCACCACTTACGAGCCTCTCCACACCTTTTTAAGGTCGTCGTTCCACGAACTTTATCAAACAATACCGCTGTCGAACCTTTTGTTTTACTTGCTTTTAACTGCTGACGCCATCTGCTCTCCTTTCTTCCGCACATCTTTTCTATTTGCGCGATACCACGTTCTGTTTTATAAGACTCGCTATTCATTTTTGCACTAATAGCAGATCCTATGCCGTTTTTATATTCTGAAAATAATATAAATAATTATATTGATATTAATAGCCATTGCATAACAAAGGCAAATAAAATATGTCAAAAAGATGATGTACAATAAATCATCGTTAATAATTGTTCGATTACAATCGAAGTTTTTATTACGAACGTTGCATTACATGAACGTTATCTAGTTGGCCTCTTTTATTTGTCATTTGTGAGCAATGGCACTAGATTTGTAATAGGGTGTTTTATATATAATGATCAGCATACCTTTTTTTTCTTTTCTTTTTTTTTTAAATAACTGATAAATAATCATTAAAGCAATTAAATTACCTATACGCTTTTACA